TGGAGACAACAGGGTGGTCTTGAAGAAGATTTGATGCAGCTGTCAAGCTCTCTAAACCTCCAAAGAACACAGCTGTCATAAAACCTATTTCAGAACATCCTCTGACCTTTAATGCAAATACATTTCTTCCCTTCCTTTACTACCAAGGTCCATTGACAGTAAGTGTTGCCGTTCTCAGTATGCTACATAATTCAGATGGACAGAAATGGCTTTGATCCAACAGCAGCAGTTCTAAGCTCCCAATCAAAATATTCCCCTCCCTGCCTATACCAGGATAGGCTCTTTCACCAGAGGCCATCTCTTAGATATTTTAATTCTGCCTATCTAGGCCTCATTAAGGAATTCTACTTTAAAATGGATGGGATGAGATGACTCGCATATGTGTGTGCATAAATTGAATGAACAAAAATTGTGTTTATAACAGCTACTCAAGGACATAAACCACCAGTGCAACTCTTGTGAGCTACAATCAGGATTTAACCTTCAATACATTCTCACCTACATCTACCACCTCACAATGCATGTTTCTCCTTCCTCTGCTCCCCCCAGCTACCATTCTCAGAGTGGGGAGCAAGAGGGAAATAGGTTTCTGTGAGGCTGAACTGACATGAGAGAACTCCAGGGGTTCTTTTTATTGCAGTTTCCTACTCATCGGTATCTCCTCCTGCTACACGGGAGGGCATACTTCATATTGTACTTCAAGGCAGCATTGGCAATGGCAGCCTTTCCTTATTGTCCTTGAGTGAATGAAAATGTTGATTTGGTGCCAGCACTAAGCTGTGTAATGTCCCTGTGATGGTCATTTTTCTCTCTGGTGAGCCTCTTGGAGGTCAAATCAATATCACAGTGGTGGTTTAAGCACAAAATATTGTCTGATTTGCTTTTATAAACCCTATCTCTTGACCTATCGCAACGGACACCATTTTTAATATAGTAAACATTCTCTGGCAGCATCTGCAACCCAATCCTCAGTGTTGGAATGAATGTTACCAGGATGCACTGATGTGAAATGGAGAGGTATTCCCACAGGTTGCTCTCATTTGAATAGCTTATAATAAATATCAACAGCTGTGAGATCAAGTGGCAAAAAATGGTTGGTTTGATTTTTTCCTTTCTTAGCACCATGAGGAAACAAGTTGTTGCAGCCTTATGACAAATATGAACTTTTGGCAGCCATAGACTGGAAAGTGTTCTATTTGCATGAGCTTTACAACAGCTTGCTTCATATACTATGTAGTAAATGGAGTTGCATCGGTACAGCTAAGGGCCGAATCAGGCCCATTGGCTAGGCAAGCAAGTTATAAATGATATTCTCATGTGTTGATTTTGGAGTGTGAAATTATAGCACCTTTTTCAAACTTTGTAAAGTTTTTTTTTTTTTAATATTCTTAATTGCTCCACCTGGATCCCATATCCAATATTGTCTTTAGAAACTGTACTGCTCCGTTCTCCTCCCGCCTGCTGTTTGCATTTGCAAGCTACGTAAGGGTATCCTAGAAACACACCTGAACCTTTCTCCAGAGTCTTAAACCCAATACGGTGCATGGGAAAATATGCTAGGAAAGCACTTTTTTTTCAAATTTGCCTTGCTGAATGTGAGGTGGTGCAGATGACAATAAATGTTGTACACCCTTGCTTTTAGCATGACATTTCTGGTGATAAGTTTCAGCTGGTGGGCACATGTGTTTGTTGCTTCCTTTGGTTCTATTCTATTCGTTTAGATTATTTATATTGTTCTGTAGCCTTTTTAAAGAATATATTTAGCTGAAAAGGTGTTAAAAATATAAGAAATTGCTTCTTCTTTAGAGATTCTGTTGGCTGTTCTAGAAAGAATTCCTAGGCTTGCAGAATGTGTCCTGCTCAGTACAGAAATCTGAACAGGGTAGTTGGGCTTACTGGTCATTATATAGTAATTCTAGTGTGGTTCTATGAACACGATTAAAAGGTCAACATTCCACCTTCTGGTAAAAGCATCTGGGATTCCTGAAGAAATAGAAAATTTCCAAAAATTAAGTTACAGCAGTGTAATTAATTGAAACCCCTTTCATATTTGTAGTACATTTGTTTACATTATAAATGTATCCATTCATGTTCTCTCAAATTTTTAAAGTCAAACATTTTCTATTGGGAAGTATTTGGGATGTAGCAGAATTGAGTTCTCTGGTTCCAGTTTTCAAAGATAGGACTGGCATTTAATAAGGGATTTAGGGGCCCAGCTCTCAGTGGATTTCAATAGAAGTTGGTAGCCTTCCTGTTTTAGGCACTTTTAAAGAACTAAGCAAAGACGTTGAAAGTTAACCACCTACATTTATAGTTGGGCCCTAACTGACCACATTAAGTATCCAGGTCTTGATTTATGCCCTTAAATGTAGTGCGAGGTTTATTTGTTCCTGGAGCAATGTTCATTTTCAAACTTGCATGCTAGCCTGTTTAATAATGTAATAAAGCTGTGTCACAGGTGGTAGATCTTATTAACATGTCATTCTGTGTTTTACTTTTTTGCCTCAACACATCCCATTGTTCTGGCAAAAAAAAAAATGAAGTGACAGTGATATGAAACACCATTTATATGCAATGTTCACAGTTACTGAAGTTTCCCAGCATTAAAGTGAAGAAAGTGTCTACTCGTCCAATCCTCGACTATTAAATAATGTCTGCAATTTTATGCATCAGATAGCCAGTAAAACACACACAAACGTAGTATTCCATTTCATCAATACATCACTCCCAGGAGTTCTGAAACTTCATACATCAAAATAAGCTTTTCTCCAACACAGTGGTGTGCCGAGGGGCTTGCTCATATGTACTAATTACATTCAGCTGTTAAATATCTATTTTCAGTTTCAGTAATCTCTGAAGGACACAAAAAATATTGGGAATTTACACTGCTCATACATTAAGGGTTAAATTATGGAATTAGTCACAACTATGCTTTGCTCCTGCACGCAAAAAAGGGTATTTTTTGAAATCCAGAACATATTAATTGAAAATATGGTGGTTAAATATATTCATGTAGTGCAGTGGTCACCAACCAGTAGATCTTGGAGCCTCTGACAGGTGATCCTGACTGGTCTGGCTGCCAGGCTATCAAGCACAGCACTTCAGCTCCCCACTGTTGCGCACCTCCTGCCCTTTGCCTTGAAGCTGCTGCTTCCCCTCCTCTTCCCCCCCCCCCTCCAAGCCTCCTGCTTGAAGTACAGAGCAGGGAAGGGAGAGGAGGGGGTGCTGATGTCAGGGTGCCCCCTCTTCTGCCCTGTATTCTATCTAGAATGGAGGGGGGCTTGGGATTGAGGGAGTTTGCTGGTTGATTTTGAGAGTGGTGTAGAGCCAGGGCGGGGATGAGCCTGCCTTAGCCCCACTGCACCACCATCAAGAAGCCGCCTGAGGTAAGCAATGTCCATCTGGAGCCAGCTCCAAACCCTTACCCCAATCATGAACCCCTCCTACAATCCAAGCCCCTGCCCTAGCCCTGAGCCTCTGGGACCCAAATTCCCTTACAGAGCCTGTTCTCTGAACCCCCTTCTGCACCTCAACTCCCTGCCCCAGGCTCAGCTCAGAGTCCCTCTCACACTGTAAATCCCTTAGCCCAAAGACCAGAGGCTGTGCCCCAACCCTCTTCTCCTACCTGGTGAAAGGGAGGGAAGAAGGGAGGACCGAGTGAGCAGGGTCAGGGCCTCAGAGAAGGTGCACAAAGGAGGTGGAGCAAGGCTATTTGGGTTTGAGGTAGATCTTACATTGCCCTTAAACTCAAAAAGTGATCTTGTGGTTAAAAAGGTTGGAGACCACTGAGTAGTGAATAGAGAGGTGAATACTCGCTGGTTATAATAAACCGATGGCTCTGCCAGACAGTGCACCACGAGCAGGGGCACTCCAGCCCTGCCATCCACAGCGGGCCAGGCCCCCACCCAACCCTATTTAAATGGTTAACCAATCGAACATAAACATTTATCCAGTTAAGTGGTTTAATGGGATTTTACATCTCTGGTAACGAATCTAGTCAGCGAAAACACAGTCTGCTTACAGATATTCTGCAAAGAAAAAAAGAGGCAGAATGAACTTTATCATTGGGAATTACTGACTGATCACTACTTGTAGATGTTAGTTCACAACCCTGGTGACCAGAGTATAATTAGTTATTTGTCTCAGATGGGTAGCCCTGTTAGTCTGTGTCTGCAAAAACAACGAGGAGCTTTGTGGCAGTTTAAAGACTAACAGATGTAAGATGCTTCTGACAAAGTGGGTTTTACTCATGAAAGCTTATGCCCAAATATATCTGTTAGTCTTTAAGGTGCCACAGGACTCCTCAATGTTGATTATTTATATTACACTAGCATATAAAGTCCCTGATTAAGACCAGGATCACACTGTGTTATGTACTAGGCAAAAGAGAATCCATGTCACCAAGAATTTATAATCTAAATAGAGCTAGCCAGGAGCCTTTTCACAAAATATTTTTGTTAGGTTGTTTTTGTTGTATCAATTCATTGAAACTTTTTTACAGGAATGTACTGACTTTGATGAAACTTTTCTCAGAAGGGCCTTTCAGGTCCATGATAGAATTTCTGGTTAAAATCAGAGGGGACAGTCAGTGAGAGAAAAGGTCATTTCAGAATAGTTAATGGCCTACTGATTAGGCCACTTGCCTCAGCTGTAGAAGACCTGGCTTGAAATCCCTATTCTGTCAGAGTTGTGGAAGTGACTTTCTACCTCCTTCATGAGGGCCTTGAACATAGGGCTATTGGTTATTCTGGCAGAGATCTCTTTGGTTTTTAATGGCATTTGAAAGGTGTCTCTTATTGCAATGAAGGATAGGACCAATTTGTGTGTCAGAATGGGAAAAAGTTTCCTGGCTAATTCTAATCATTTTTGCTTTGAAGGGCAACTTGAAGCATCATGGAGAAAAGCATTTTCCATGCGGCACACTGTCTCTTGACAGTAAGAATTTAAAAATCTGATTTCTATATGCATCCTTGTAATGTAATACTTTTGTTTCCTTACAGGTGAAGGAGGCCATGCAAAGAATCCATGACCGGGGTAATATAGGAAAACTTATCCTGGATGTGGAGAAGGCACCCACTCCATTAGTGAGTGAAAAATACTGAGTATATGCCAACTGTCATCATACAAATTACAGTGTCAACAACTCTTAGAAAAGTCTCAGAGAGGTAGCCATGGTAGTCTGTAACTTTAAAAACAACAAGCAGTCTTTAGTCTCTAAGGTGCACAGGATAGCTCATTGTTAACAACTCTCAGAATTAGTTATTTTTCTTGTGGTTTTCTACCACGTACGTATCACCTAAATAGATATCTCCAGAACCAACAATCACAATCTTTAATTTGTACAGTAAGGTACTGTACAAGTTGTTGTTGTTGTGAACAAGATTTGCAGTAATACAACAATAGCAGTTCATGTCATAGGTAAAATGGGAATTGATTTCTCAAAATAGAAGTCATTATTGCTTCTGTAAAATCTTATTTGAATTTTTTTTTGATGGGGGAGGGGCAGGGGAAACCCAGTGCATCTATTTCTGCCTCTGGTGGAAAACAAATAGCTGTTCAATGTAATATTAGAATGCTATGTTAGTGGAGCTAATGCAGTGGATTGAAGCCAAACAGGCCAAATCAACTTATCTTTAGCCTATAAACACATGAGTGTACTCTCCTTAAAACCTGCATATCTGTAGAATTGCTATTCTGTAAAGCACATAATAGCTATTGCAATGCTGTATAAAGGACAGGATGTGTCTGACTAGAACCAGCTAGTGATTTCTTTAAACTCTGTTGAAAATGCTCAGTATGCTGCTGTTTTGCCTTTCAACCTCAATCAAATTGGAAAGATACAAAGTCATGCTTGTAAAATTTAATGTAATAATAATTGTACTTGTTACTCAACAGCACCTGGGACAGAATGGACATGATGGGTCTACTGAAACTAAATGTAGTGGTCAGACCGAGTCTAGCACATAAAGACACTGGGAGTGAAAGGTTACAAAGCATATTTAGTAGAGGGAAATCAGAAGGATCAAGCCTAGAGGTTGTCTGTTGATATTGGAAAGAGTAATCGAAAAAAAGCAGGAACAAATTAACTAGATAAATTAACTAATGGGCCTAAAATGCAGTTTGGATTCAGATCTGAAGTTCTCCCCATGTGGAGAGCTGAGATTTGGATGTAGGATTCCAGTTTGGCCTTCATTTACTCAAAGGCAGCAGGAAACCTGACTTAGAGGCTATTGGCTTCTCACACGTGGAAACCAGACAGTATTTGACACTAGACTAAGGACTAAACTGAGTCCTAAAACTGTAAAGCACAGCACGGCAATAAAGAGCTAGAAAAGAGGAGTCTCCAATACTGCATTAATACATATTAAGCCATCTATTTTCTTGGTAGTACACATGCCTGACTGCCATTAGTATCTGTGCAAGCTACAGACGTAGAAAATGAGAGGATATGTGCTCTATTTTTACCAATGCTGAAAGGAATTCATTCAAAAATAGGAGTAATTTCTTAAGATCACTTGTGTGTCTATTAAAATAAGGTTGTGTTTGTTTGTTTCATGTCCGTGGGGTTTCAACAGCTAGCAACAATCTAATAGAGCAGGTATAATTTTGGGCTGGATTTTTTTCTCCTTCTTCCCCCCCCCCCCCCCCCCCAGAGTTTAGTTTTTCATTGTGCTTATTTAGGGATCCCAAGCTGCAATATGAGCATTAGAGTATTTCATGATTTTGTTCTAATTCATAACAATAGAGCAATCCTATTGCAAACTCATTTGCTACTTGGAAGGTAAGCATTTACCTGCACCAGGATTTGATATCAGGAGAAGGATGAAGGGATCCAAATAGACCAAGGAACTTAAAAAAGAGAGAAATAAGTTAGTAACAATAATCCACTAATATATTCAGAGCACTAAGGGAAAAGTGCTTGTAACCATTTCCCCTGGAGTTACCTCTTTTTATTCTGCTTTTCAAAAAGTGGAAGAATACATTGTAAATCTGTCTTCTTTCCCCAAGAATGTTTCCAAATAAGCTGTTTGTTGTGAAACTAAAGAGTCAGATTCTTTATTGCAATAAGCCATTCCAAGGCATGCATTATTGACATATTGGGGCCCTCGTGCAATACGCCCCTCTGAGGCTGACCTCTGTAGCCCACTAATAAATGGAGGCCATGCAATGGAATCCACTCCATTGTGAATTATTGTAAACTATATGCAGAAAACCGAATCAAAGCTTGAAGATATTGTTTTCATTCCTTATTTCATTCATGTTTAGAAAATTCCTGTAAAGTTAAATGAGGATTTCGCTATGTCCTAATTAGGATAGTCTTAGCTAACAAGAAAATGCAATATCCATAGTCTATGCAGATGAATACAACAAGGATGTCTCATGGAATATGTAAAACTACTACAATTGTGTACAAATTGGAAAGATGCAGGGCAAGCATCTGTTTCATCTTTGCTATTTACACAACATTTAATAATCATCTCATCTGGAAAAAAGATGCTGTCTGTGCTCGTCTATGGATTAATATTTTGTGTGGTTATGTACAAACTGGAGATTATCCCTGCACTATTCCAGAGAAATCTAGCATTATTAAATCACTTTGTATTTGTGTGATGATAGTGTTGATTCCGTACATATTTGCCTTATGGCAGCAGGTATATGCACATTCACATAACCAGTGGTCCTTTAAAAAATTGCCTTATACAGGTCAGACTGCCCTTGTCCAGCACCCTCGGGACCTGAGAGCTGGAGTCAGTGGGGTACGCAGCCCGGGCCACCAAAGGGAGTGAGGATCCCGAACAACAGAGTTTGCCAGACGAAGGGAGGTCAAGGTTCCCTACCTGGCTGTAGGGCTCTGGTTCCGAGTGAGGCTGGGCTCCCTGTTTCCTGCCACTGCCTCCAGCCCCACACTGTGCCAGGCCTAGCCAGGGCTGTATTCCCCCATCATGCCAGCGCTGGACTGCACATCCAGCTGATTCCAGCCCTGGCTGAGGCTGAACTCCCTGCTGCCGGTCCCACCCAGGTCTGTGCTCCTGCACCGCACCAACCCCAACTGAGACTATGCTTCCCACTGTGAGAGCCCCAGCCGAGGCTGCGTTCCTGGCTGCTGGCTCTGCTACCTCCAGCCGTGGCTGGGTCTGCTCTCCTTGCTGCCAGTCCTGGCCAGGCCATTGCTCCCCACCTCTAGCCTAGCCTGGGCTGTGCTTCTGAACATGGCCAGCAGGGGCGCTCTGGGCCAACAATATGCATGGTCCTGCCGGACCAGAGTGTCCCGGATTTTAGAGGTTTAAGCTGTATTTGTACAAATCAAACAACCATTCTGTGGTTTCCCAAGACACTGTGTGTCCTTGAATATTTGTAGGACTAGACCAGATGCCGTCTATTCACACTCACCGAAGTATCTGCTGTGTGACAACTGATTCTGAAGGATTCATAAAATGGATGATGAATGCAAGTTGTGAACCTCCTACACATATTTCTTTCATATATGGGAGCCTTGATGTTGTTTTGTTGTCAATATACAAACCCAATTGCCACTATCATGCACAGCAGTCCTTGCTAAATAATTCAGCTGTGTAATCCTTTTGGAGAATTGTTTATGATTGTACACAGAAATTGTTGTACATCAGACCAATCTTTTTCACAGATATAATGTGCATTTTCAGTTTTTAACAATTTTCTTTTTTATTTTTCAACATTGCCTTATCAGGTGAGTTGAAGTAATAATGAGCTGAAGCAACACCATAAACATCCTGATTTCCTTCATATTTTTCTACAGATGGCCAATGACAGCACAGAGACAAGTGAAGCCGGAGAAGAGGAGGAGGACCATGAAGGGGACAATGAGAATAAAGAACGAATGCCATTCATCCAGTAACCCATAAGAATGGAGGGGCAGGGAAAATCCGAAAGATTGATCAAGTAGAAAGGAACAAGACTGGGAAATCTATTCTGTGCATCAGTGAACAAATGCTGTAGTACAGTGTGTGTTGTATTTGTCTGCAGCCAGCTGAGCTATAAGTTGTTGATCATTGTTGTTTTGAACTCAAGTGCCATTCCCATCCAGTGCAGTATTATGACATTCCATAGTGTGACGGCCAGTCTGTAGGAGTCCCTTTGATTTTCTTTTCCTATCTAAAAGCCTTATTAATGTACTGTGTAACTTTAGATGGGCATCTTTCCTCATGTGAATTTATTGCGTTACGTTTTTTTTCCCCTTAATTCTCTGCCATTGTTTAGTATGCTGCAGTAATTGGAGGGAGGTCTTTCAGTCTGTGGACTTTCAGTAAAGAAGGCCAAAACATAGCATTTCTTTGTGAACCACAAATAAGAAGCTACAAAGAAGACAAATTATATTTCCCTGGATTGTGCTATTCATCTCATAAATTCTAGCTTAAGTTTTTAAAAATACCTCATTTGTAAACCTAGATAATGTTCCAGAAGTCATTACTAGGTGGTTTTAATTAGTATTGTGTAACCACATTCGTCATCAGCACTACAAATTAAATGGAAATTGATCCATGGTGCCAAGTGCCACACTTACTTTTGGTCCCCCTATGTACCATTCCCTTTAAATTACTTGAAAGAAAAGCCAATGGACTACTTTTTCTGCCCAGTGATTCTTAACTATATGCAACTGTTACAAAATTTACTATTGATTCAACAACTCCTCCCAAGGTTTAATTTGAGTTAGGTGTGTCCAAAAGCTGAAGCAACCATATTTGTTGTATTATTTAATGGATGGCTAACAGTAGGTTCGTTGTTCAGCACATGGAATAGCACATGTTCAGCACATGTTTTGTTGGTTGAGTTTAGACTTCTGAAGTCACTAGTGAACTAAAAAGCTGAGTGACAGCCCAAATTCTTACAAAGATGAATCAGTTTGCTCACAACTTTTAGGCCTCAATTTCATCAGCACTTATGCGCACGAATAACTTTACATAGATGAGTAATCCCATGGAAGATCTGTTCCCTTGCATAAAGTATTCACATGCGGAAATGTATGCAAGATCAAGCCCTTAAGAATGTGTAGCATATCTACCTCCCAGTAATGAAAAGAAACACAAAACATGACACTGAAACAAATATGCTTGTCCCCATCTTCCACTTACCCAAGTTGCAGCTAGTCAATTCTCCCACCCAACCTTTTTTAAAAAAAACAAAACAAAACACTGCAACCACTCACAATAGAAGCAGTAAAGGAATGTTCCCAAGATGTCATATTCTGACAGCTTCCTCTTGAACTTAATGTCTTTCTCACAAAAGAAAACACTTCTTCAAAATGCCAAGTTATTTGATCTCCTAAACCTATCAGCATTAAGTAGTGATTGACATGAAAAATGGGTTTCTCCAGCTTTTCTTAATGTGATGGGAAAGATAGGTCTGGATGACTTTTGTATGTGGTTTTAGAAGATTGTCTTTCTGTCTTTCTTTCTGTCTCTTTCTCTTTCTTTCTTTCTGTTTAATTCAATGGTACCAGAGTATTAATGTCCATTTCTTTATTTTGCGCTCATGCAGTTGCTGCTATAATACCAGTTAATTATGGCAGAAAGTTCATTTTAAATGAGTTTGCCGTGGGTTGAAAAAAATTACAAATAATGAAAAAAGGCCAAATAGTTTATAGAGAAATATGCCACAAGTAAGCTACTGTTGAAATATGACACAGAATTTCAGGGGTGTTTTTATAGAATTTAATATGGAACTTCAGCAATTTGTATCTTGTCATGCCAATGTTTATCTAAATTATTAGTGCCACATTAGGCCCAAGTTTGCCATCAATATCAGACATGAATTCAGTGAGAATTCTGCATGAATTGAGACTGCTAAATTGGGCCTTTAAAGGAATCACCATTTATTTTTTGTCATAGATAAGATGACAACAGTACAAACAATGGTCGGTTATGTTTATTTAAAAGTTACTGTAGCAATTTTGTCCTGCAACCTAAAAAATAATTCATCAGTTTTCATTTGGCACTGAGCTGAGCAATATTGCTAGTAACCCTGAGCTGGCAGTAAAGTGGCATTCTCAAGACCTGTAGAGAATTAGGGAAAGCAGAGTAACAAACCAGTTCTTCTATTAATACCACAGTGTTGGTGGGGCTGCACTTAAAATAAAAGTTAATGTTCCCAGAGTATCAGTAGAAATAGTAGAGGACAATGATCAAAGGAAACCATTTTTCTTGTCCATTCTGGTTATTTTAATGAGGTAAAACCACTTCTGATGCAACTCATGCCAATTTAGGACCTGTTTCTGAGCTCCAAAATACCACCTTAAAGAAATTCTACTACTTCATTAGAAGCAGGATTGGACTGTGAGAGCAAAATTTGATCCACTAGCCCGAACAGTTTACAGAAACTTCACAAAAGGTGGCATCTCTTTTGGCTGGCCTGTTACAGGCTATTCAGAAGAAAATGATTGTAAGCTGTTTTTAGTGAACAAAACCTGCTCGTGGTCTAAACAAATATTTGCATTTACTACTTCCTAACACTGTGAGTTGCAACTTCTCTCTCAATAATTGATTGATTGGTTTGAAATAAATTATTTCTCAATTTTGCCTTAAGGAACTGTGAAACCTTCTCTTTAACTTAAGCCTGATTGAAGTGAACTGAAACATTGTTTAATTGTCTTGTTGCTTTAGAGCTTCTGTTATATTGTGCCTAAAAAGCAAATTATGTTTACATAAAAATATAAATAAAATATTACGCATAGCATTACTCTGGACTGGCCTCACTCATTCTAGTGTACTGTTCCTGTAAGATGGGTTAAGAAAAAAGAACATTTTTATTGCAAAATACACAGGGACCATTCATTAAAACCAGCTGAAAACAATGCCTTACAGAGCAGTAACAAGTGAGACATGAAATTTTCTCTGATATTACAAGGAATTTTTATTTTTAACAATCTATTCGAGAAAGGTCAGAATATCACAGCAGAATTTTCCTGCAGTGTTAGGGGGAGGAATCATTGGCTTTCAGAGCATGTAAACACCAACTTTCAGAATGTTCTCTCTCCGACTGCAATGAGATAAATCTGGACATGCACATTAACATCAGACACAATGTTTTTCCCTGAGAAAATAATATGATATTTTTAGCTAACAAGCTCAGATATTTTCCTTTCCTTCCTGATTTACACTCTGGAGCTCTTTTTAAGTCTGTCAACCTAACGTGTGTAAGTGAAAGAACCACGTACGTGGCTGTGATATAAAATAATTAGGAGGGGTGGTTGGAAGGGATGTCATGTAGCTCTGTCCCAGTATTGGATTGGGAGTAAGAACACCTGACTTTGATTCCCAGCTGTGCAGCTAACTTGCTATATGTCCTTGGCCAAATCACATAACTGCTCCCGTTCTCAGTTTCCTCATCTGACTCTGACATAGACAAATAGCTGATGTAGCACTAAGGGAGCCTTCCCATATACTGAAATGAACAGTGGGCTGGATTCTGCTTTCCGATAAATCTCAACCAGCTGTTTAGGCATGTAGGTTTAGATTTGCAATGGGACTCCCAATGGGAGTAGGGCACCAAGGAGATTTTGAAAAACTAAGTAGTCACCTTCCTGCATCTTTAAATGCCTTCATATGTTTAAAAAGCTGACAATTAAATCTTTAGCTTACATTTAAATCTAATGGGATTTAAAGGTGCCGAGCACCTCTCCAAAGCACTCAGCACCTTGCAGAATGGAAGCTCCCTGCTGCATACTCTACTCATCAGTCTGAGGACAGAGCATGCATTGAACATAATGAACTAAAACTATATTGTCACTTTTTAGATGTCCGTGTCCTGGATTGTACATGTGTAACTCAAGGGTATGTTTGTAGTAGATGCTTCCTTCACCTCACAAAGGTGTTGTAAGTATTAGCTGGTCCAATTAGCTTTGACAAAAAGGGCTATATAAGTGCTAATAATTATCATTATCCAGGGAGTTCCAAAGGATATGAAACCTCTTGCATCCAAGTGCTTATTGCAGATGTGTTGATTAGAATGTATAATCTTCTGAATACATTTTTATCAGTTCTGTGGATATGTCTTTGATTCATATCCTAAAGATGGGGTGTGCTTTTAATAACTGTGAAATACATGAAGTCATTAGCAGTTTTATATATATCCGTGTGTGTGTGTGTGTGTGTGTGTGTGTGTGTGTGTGTGTGGCTGTGTCCACACTCAGGGGTTCTTTCGAAAAAAGTAGCCTTTTTTCGAAAGAACTTCCCCTGCGTCCAGACTCAAGCCGCGTTCTTTCGAAATTAAATCGAAAGAACGCGGCTTTTCTTTCGACGGCGGTAAACCTCGTTTCACGAGGAAGAACGCCTTTTTCGAGGGAGATCCGTCGAAAGAACGTGAGTCTGGACGGGGGGAGCCCTTTCTTTCGAAATTATTGGCCTCCAGGAACAAGCCCTGGTGGACAATCTGGGCC